CTTTTTAACCACATATTCTCCTAAAAAAATTACTATTCCAAATTACATTTTTCCCAAAACCTCGTTAAAATGGAGCCCAAACAGGCACAATCTAAAATGTGATGTTATGCAACATGACGTATTTGAGGGCACCTGAATCTTAATTCTTTTTATCATTTATTAATCTCTGCTGTGGAATTTGCTGAAAAGAAACAGCAGTTTATATAAAAACTGCAAAAAGGCATTTGTTACATTTTATGATGAAGACTAACATCCCAAAAAAATAGTTACTTTGCAGTCATTGAATGCTTTGTCATGTCACAATATGTCATTGAAGATAACTACCCATTACATATTTCTCTAATTCATCACTGTTGTGTTCTTTCTGTCTTTCTAGTTTTCTAAGTCGTCAGGAATCCTTGATTTTCCTTTATGCAGATTTTTGCAGGGTAACTACTTAAGTGGATTTATTCCGAGTGAGCTGGGTCACCTTTCTCAGCTTGAGAATCTGTAAGTTGTTTTATCTGCTCTGTGGAAGACTCTACCTTGTGATTCTGTATCATCCAAATTAAATTTGATGTATGTACATGTGGTCAAGACTCGTGCTCTATTAACGTGATGGACGGTCTCGATATGAAAGCCATTGAAAGATATCACCATTTATCTATCTTCATTTCAATGGTTGCAAAGTTGTAGTACCCGACCTTTGTGTCTGCGCAATTAACTTATTTACTGTCCGCTTTGGGAGAGCCTAGCTCATCTTATCTCTCACGATTTTTTGTCGCGTCCCCAGATTCTAACCCATGACTTTTCCCTTAAAAGAGACTTAATTCGATCCTAGATACACTACAAAAAGCCGTAAGGGTAAGAAGAATTAGGCTCTCTCAAAGCGGACAGTACACAATTAACTGTTTGGATACAGAGGTCGGGTTGTTCTCGCATTTTTTGTAATGATCTGAGCCTTGTGCACGATTGTTCTCTTACTTTCCTCTGGGAGGAAATTATCTCTCACAGATTTGTCTCATCCCTTAAGATTTGAATCCATGACCTTTTCTTAAAGGGAAAAGTTGCCCAATTAGTACTAGGACTCAACTTAAGTCCCTCATAAGGTAGAGATTTTGAGTTCGAATTCTGAGGACTAAATAAAAATTCATGAGGGATAAGAGGATAGATACCCTCTCAAAGCTAATGGTACATAAGAGAATGGTCGGGCATGAGGCTCGAATCGTTAAAAAAATGCACATTTATTTGTAACAATCTAGGCCTTGTGCCTTATCGTTCTCTTACATACTGTCTGCTTTAGAAGAACCTAAACCAATTTTACCTTTTCTGGATTTTTGTTGCATCCCAGGATTCAAACATGACATTCCCTTAAGAGAGATTTAAGTTGAATTCTGGTACCAATTGATATGTTAGGGGTAAAATGGGCTTAGACTCTTCCAGAGCATGTATACATAAGAGAATGGTGGGGCACGAGGCCTACGTCGTTACAGTATTCACTACTAGGATCAAGACACAATGCGTAATTTCATAATCAACAATTGTAAACAACCTTCCCTTTCATTAATGAAGAAAAATATCTGTTGACATAATTTTAGGATAGCTAGTAAACCCTTTTGGTCGAGCTGAATCAATAAGGATGAAATAATTTAGAGCGTGTTCGATTGGCATGGAAAATATCACCCAGAAAAAAAAATGTTTTCCTTCTTTTGTGGAAAATAAAAACCACCTCCACCCAAGAAAAATATTTTCCTTAAAAACAAGGAAAATTAGGCATATTTTCAAAAGTTGGAAAATATTTTCCATGAAAAAAATTAGCAATCAAACACCTCGAGTAGGAATTTGGGTGGAAAACTGATATTTTCCATGGAAAATAAATGTAATCAAACAAACCCTTATTGTATCTTTTTCACTGCTGGATGAGATGTTGCAACATTATTTATACTCTTCTCCAACTCCCGTTCTCTTTGAGCAAACACGGTAAAAGGTGGTTGCTAAACTGCAAGATCATGTCTTACATTCTTTTGGTTTTTGTTCAAGCTAAGCAAAGTAAGTATTTCAACTGAGACTATTTACAGGAATGTCCTCTGCTATCCTCCTTTTGCTTTTAGCTATAGTCAGAAACTTCTGTTTGATGATTATCCCAGATCCAGGGTTGAAAAGAAATTGTTATAAATTACACTAGCCATACTTTTAAATCTCTCCATGCAGAAGGTGACCTGGGTAGTTATTTTCAATGGGATTAAGAGAATTTTGGTATCACATAAAAATGCATTTTTAGTAGTACAGGAGTCCTCGCCAAGTTAATGATTTAGTTCTCTGCTGGATTTTTCAGAGATCTCTCAAGCAACTCTCTCAGTGGTAAAATTCCTGCTTCTCTTGGGAAGTTAAACAAGCTCTCAATTTTGTGAGTGCCTATAATTTCCAAGTTACTTCAATCTTTTGGATGGTTTCCCCTGTTGTAATACTTATTGTTTCTTTCTTACAATGTTTGAAGCAATGTATCAACAAACTTTCTGGTGGGATCAATACCCTCTGATGGTGTTCTTGCCAATTTTCGTAGTGATTCGTAAGTTCTAAATATATATAATCTTTTATTGAGTGGTCCAAACTGTCTGCATGCTTTATGGTCTTCATTGTGAAGCTGGATAGCATGGTTTTTATAATTTCCTGTTAGTCTAATCTTGCCTTTTGGTCTACTACACTCATTTAATTTTCTTAAATTTTATTCTTTTTATAGTTTTTGATTGCTTGACTATTTGAGTGGGACCGAAGAAGACAGGAAATTGGAAAACTTTCTTTTGTCTTATATGGTTACATACTGGAACTCTCCATGTTGATTGTTCCTAAATTTCATTCTTTAATCCTAACCCAAATGAGAGAATAAAATCTGACTTTCTCCCATGTTTTACTTGATTTTTCTTTCTCATCATTATCTTCTCTTCTTTTCTCTTCAACAAGAAGCAAACGAACTATTATATTTCTATTACTAGTAGTTTGTGTACATTCTCAGTAACAGTAGTAGTTGAAGTAGTAATAATGTACCATCTCTTTGGAAATTAAAATAGATACTGACATGTATAAAAGCACATGAATCTGTTTGAAACACGAGTTACCGAACACATTACTTCTTAAAAACTGAGTTCACAGAGATTAACCAGGTAAGCAACAGCTAACTTTGTCTTCCTATTCACAATTCAATCAGCAAGTTTTTTGGTTTTATACATGTTTCTAATAAAGGCACTGTTGTCATTTACTGTTATTTTAATCTTTGAAATAAAGGTGAGTGATTGTGCATTTACATCGCTGATTGATGCTTCTCATGGCAGCTTTGTTGGAAATCGTGAATTATGTGGGAAGCAGATACAAATATGCAAGAGCAGTGGTGGTTCTTCTGCATTGTCGCCTACTGATTTAGGTAAAATTCATCACATAAGAGATTGTTCATTCAATGTTTTTTCAGATTTCAGTGGCTGAGATATTTAGTCAACAGTATGTCCTGTGAGGGCTGGACCTTAATGAGAGAGCAAACAAAGGGACAGGCTAGCCTTTTCCTTTGTGACCAGAGATAGATTTTACTTCTGTGCAGAAGTACAATGCACATACCAAGGGAGGCTCATGCCATGATTTCGTATCTGCCAAATCTTCTGATCTCCAGTGTGTCGTCCTGATAGTTAAGCGTATATTATGATAATCAAATGTGATGATGATATTCCTGAAGATCATATTAGAAGTTTGATGATATGAATGACTTTTAGGCTTTTTGTAGTTCTAGACTTCCAGTAGTGGATTATCATTTTTATGTGATTACGGATTTGATGATTTACAAAAATCTTATCGCATATCTATTAATTGGTTTGAATTATTTTATCGGTATATGTTGAGGCTTACACTACCTAGTCTCGTGGATGCAAAATGCCTTGGTTATCAATTGATCGTTTTTAAACGCAGGATTCATTATCATGGATGCAAAGGATATGATGTTAATCCCATTTTCAAAATCTTTCCTCTTCATTCTCACTGAATTATTAGTTAGTTCAGTGTATTATTATATATCTAGCGACAAGCCATTAACAAGAAAAAAAAGGTATGATGATAGAATGTTGGCCATGTCTTGGGATTATTTATTTATTTATTTTTTAATATAGAGCAGGATGTAGAACATAAATGAGAATGCCCATTAATAATGAAGGTGCCTTTGTTTCATGTTGGTTCACCTTAATTTTTTCTTTTCCATTATATCCTTTTCAAGGTAGCATCTAATGTTGGTCTTTATGATATTTTTAGCCCAAAGTCGGTTCAAGAAGAAATATTCAGGACGCCTTCTCATAAGTGCGCTTTCTACTGTGATTGCATTGCTTTTGGTTGCACTTGTGTGTTTCTGCGTCTGTTTCCTGTATAAGAGGCTAGGAAAAAATGATAGGAAAGGCCTTGCTATTGATGTCGGTGGAGGTACTTATCTGTTATCTATGCATCGAATTACATTGACAATAATTGTTAGCTGTGACATCTTTGTGAATTTTAATATTTATAACATATCGAAGTTTTTTCAACTTTCATTGCTCAGGTGCCTCAATTGTGATGTTTCATGGAGATTTGCCTTACTCTTCAAAAGACATCATAAAAAAATTGGAGACATTGAATGAGGAACACATAATTGGTGCTGGGGGCTTCGGAACAGTGTACAAGCTTGCAATGGATGATGGTGAAATATTTGCCTTGAAAAGGATTGTAAAGATAAATGAGGGTTTTGATCGTTTCTTTCAAAGGGAGCTTGAAATCCTTGGAAGTATCAAACATAGATACCTGGTAAACCTGCGTGGATATTGCAATTCTCCAACATCAAAATTGTTGATTTATGATTTTTTATCCGGAGGCAGCCTAGATGAAGCTCTTCATGGTAAGATACCTTTTTTGCATAATATTTATTGGGTTGTGTTTTATTTGTACTGCCAATGCTTGAAAAGATAGATCAATGCATGTTATATAAAATGCATGTGCTTGAAACATGTTGATGCCTACTTTAAACAGCTGAAGTGACTACCTAGCTATAAAGAGGAAAAAATCACACTCAAAAATTTCCCAGCTTTTTACTTTATGAACACCTTAAGTGAATCTTTGTTCCAGTACTGCATTTTAGAGCAATGTTTTCTGTAATAATGTTTAAGGTGCAACTGAAGTTTAGGCCTCAGTTATTTTATTGGCTCTTTTTGCAAAGAAGGATTTGACCTGAGGATTTCAGAACAATGAAATAAGGGAATCCTATTATTATAGATCTTTTTGTTTTCTATCAGAATTATGATGGTCATATTGATGCAAAGAGCAATAAAATTGGAAATTCTAAGGAATAACACTTAATGATCTGTGGTTATTGATCCTAATTTCGTTAAAGCTTGCAGGTTGATTCCTTATCATGCTAATATAATGCCCTTTTCCATTCTCAAGGAAAGCCCACTTTCAGGATATCATTAATTGATAATGTTGTCAAGCACATCCCCTCCACTAAGGAACACATAACTACTGGTCATATCTTTTTGTGCTCTATGTAAGGCTTTTCTGATTCCTGAAATAGACTATTAATTTGTTGAGTCAGCCGGAGATAACACTATTGATAGGCTTGCCTCCTCTTGGGAATGACTATTGGCAACAAGCTAAATGATAATTGTGAGGGTTTCTAATTAATCATCTTTAGTATTAGTATAAAAGTTAAGAGTAACACTTGAGTAACAGCAGCCAGCACCTTCATATTCTTACGTTCCATTATAACTGAATTTTTTGAATCTAAACATAATATCCACGCCCTCAAGATCCACATTAATGTGGTCTTAGTCTTTAATGCGAAATGTTTACTTCTTGCACTTGCCGAAGTTTCTGCTGGACGGTAATCATCTTTCAGTTTTTAACAGCAATTTAACTTCTCATTGTTGTCTGTGTATCTGTGAATAAAAGCTGACTAAGTTTTCGTCCATGAGTTTTAGCTAGTATTGAACTCATCCTTTAACCTGAACATGATGTTCTGCTATTTAACTCTTTATGATTACATGTTTGTTTCCTCTTTGATGTTGTAACTAGAGTATTGTTCACATTTTCTGGTTACAAAAGACTCATCATTCACTCATTGGAGAGTTACAAACCTCTCACGTCATCGTGATAGAATAACACAATCTATCTTCTATGCAGAGAAGGGTGAGCAGCTAGATTGGGATGCTCGTTTAAATATTATCATTGGAGCTGCAAAAGGGCTTGCCTATCTGCATCATGATTGTTCCCCTCGGGTTATCCATCGTGATATCAAGTCAAGCAACATTTTGCTTGATGGAAATTTTGATGCTCGAGTGTCTGATTTTGGACTGGCTAAATTATTGAAGGATGAGGAATCTCACATCACGACAATCGTTGCTGGCACCTTTGGATATTTGGCTCCTGGTAAGGACAGGAAATTATAATTCACTTTTGCCTGTTTTTGATTTAGTACACAAGGCAATGGTTTCCAGGTGTTCACTACTTATGAAATGTCTCATTTTCATATACAAGTAATTTATGTATTCATTTTCATGATATGTGCATTGTGTATGTGAAATCTTGGTGAAGTATATAATTATATCTGGTTACTCCATTTATATAGAACTGAAATTGCATAGCTATGACCATTAAAAAACCCAATTGAGGACTTACTTAAGGCCGGCCTCAGAGTGAGTTGAGCAAAAAATGCCTCAAGGCGCTAATTCGAGGCAATTTTTGGAGGCCTACGCCTCAGTTGTGTGAGGCACACGCCTCAGAACACTGCCTCATGGTTTGTGAGGCATGTGCTCCTTAGTTTGCAAGATTTAGACCCCGTTTGGCCCCCATTCTTTCCAAATTTTAATGGTTGAAATAATGTTTTTTTGAAAAAGTCGTTGAAAAAGAATGAAAAGTTTTTTATTTGCCTGTAATACTATTTTATGGAAGATTGTGTAGTTGAAAATAAGAGAGAGAAAGAATGAGAAGGAGAATGGGGGCCAAACGGGGGCTTATTTATTTTGCTTTAGGTGTGGAGCCTTTAACTAGTTGGAGATAACTCATTGCTCACTTTATGAGTTTGTGTTTGTCATACGTCCACTTTCCAACCAACTAAAATAATAATTTTTTTATTTTATTTTTTTTGCTAATAGATTTTTCTTTGTTCGTTTTCGTGGGTCATGGCTTTAAATTTTTCTTTTATGAATTTGAAGATTTTTTATGAGCTAATTTTACATTTTAATTTTTTGACATTTTTTGGGCTTACGGCAAGTCTTACGCCTCAAAATGCCTCGAGACTAATATCTCGCCTCATATAGGAAGAATGCTTTTGCACATGATTATGCCTTTTGAAACATTGGCTATGACTCCATTGCAAAATACTATGTAACGCAGCAAGATTCATAAATAAGGGAATTGATATCAATTTTAATCAGAATACTGATTTGGATATTTTCTTGCCTGCTTTGCCACAAGAAGGTATGCAAACCACTCATGGCATCTGATTATGCAGAATATATGCAGAGTGGAAGAGCTACAGAAAAGACCGATGTTTATAGTTTTGGGGTTTTGGTGCTTGAAATTGTGAGTGGAAGTCGGCCTACTGATGCTTCTTTCATCGAGAAGGGCCTAAACATTGTTGGATGGGTATGCCTTTTCATACTTTCTTTGCTATCGTATATCTTCCCAGCCAAGCTAATGCTTTATTGCTCAAGATGCACATGTGAAACTAATTTAATTATGCTCGATTCATATCTTAATTTAGAAGTCTGTACGAAAATTCTGCTGAACATTAATGATTGGCGTAATAGTATCAATTATGCCCTTGATTCTGCCGAGGACTTCCGTCGCTATCTGGATTCTCTAGAGGGGGGAAAAATGAGGTAAACTCAGCGTTGCCTTCCTCCATTCAGCCGAAGAGGCACCAACCCAGCACGAACAAAAAGGGGAAGTCCCTACTTCCTTTGCGCCTCACCAGGCAGAAGAAGAAAAAAGGCTAAAAGTCAACCTTCGAAAAGATGAAAGCATTCGATCTATCAGGCTCGTTAAGTAATCAGTCATTCAGCTGAATTCGATATATGATAACAGGGAAAGACAGTTTCAGTTGCTTTTCCTGAACTGGGAGTTTGATTTTCTGTCAGTGCATATGTTGATTAACTCATCATTTCTCTTTGCAGTTGAATTATTTAGTTTCGGAAAGTAGACAACGTGAAATAGTCGATCCACACTGTGAAGGGGTACAAGCAGAAAGTCTCGACACCTTGCTTTCAATCGCCAACCAATGTGTTTCTTCTGGTCCCGATGATCGTCCCACGATGCACAGAGTAGTTCAAATACTTGAATCTGAGATCACAACCCCGTGCCCTAGCGACTTCTATGATTCAAACTCGGAGTGAAGGCTTAATTGTGAAATGAAGAGAGGCGATATCTTTGCTATTATCATCCGCTGCTTCGTGCAGCAAAATGCAGGATCAACACAAGAACAGAAGGGGCATGGAATCTGCATAATTCATCCCCGACTTATTTATTCATTCATTCTGCAAAATCTCGACAACATATGCCCACGCTGCTCGGCAGCCATTCGTTTTTCTTTGTCCAGTAAATGAAATTATTTGTTTTACCACACCATTTGCCCCCTTGTTTCTGCCTTGTATTTCCTCTTTGTAATTACTCTACTCAATTGTATACAAAAATGGTTATGTCCTTGTTATTGATTCCATTTATTGTATGACATATTTGTGTTGCATAGTAATCTTTTCTTATTCCATTTCTATTTGGTCCCAGCTACTTGAAAATATTTGTTTGCTCAAAACAATACAACATTCAAGGTGCATCTAATTTATTTCATAATTAGACGTGACTTACTTAAGGTCCGATTGACAGGACTTTTGCTTCGTTTATAAGAATTCGTAGAGAAATTTACCTTAAGCTAGTTTCTTCTAAAAACTCTTCTAGACTACAAAGCACTTCTAGAATATTATCAAAACAATTTTAAAAGTAGCTTCTTTTTCATTTTTCAAAATCCTAGCAAAACTGGCTCTTAATCGTTCTCTGATGCAATTGGAAATCGGTGAAGATAATGGGTTTTGCTTATTTTCATTTCCTATTATGATTGCAAAGGGAAAATATAGAATTCTATACATAAAATATCGATATGACAGCGGGTTGCTCTATCTAACTATTTTTCCACGGAGAAATTTTTAGAATTCTCACTATAAAACTTTCAATTCGGCATAAAATAGTGTCTTTATTAAGTCAATATATATAGTTTAGAACTTGTCTGCAGTTTCTTGCTATTTCCAGTAGTTTTTTTGTATTTATTCAAACAAATCAACGAGTGTCAACATTCATAAATTTTTGTGCTACTTACGAAGCTCTATCTTTGGGGCTTCTCCAAGACTTTGCAGAAAAATAGATAAACAACAATAATTTATAATGAAAACTTGATCTCAAAAGATAACCAAAAATTTAAATATTCATCATTTTCTTAGATGAAAGGTGTAATATATAAATCAAAATTCACTATTTTATTGAAGACGTTTTTAGTGTTATAATATATTTCCTTTTAATTCAATAATTTTGGCATATATATATACTAGTCTCATGCCCGTGCAATGCACGGGCTGTGTTTTTTCTTAAGGTAATGTTAGTGTATGACAAAATGAAAAATGCATGGTCCTACTTTTGAAATGGAATGGGAGATATCCATAATAAAACAATATTAATCTTACAACATAAATTCTAAAGAAAAATCAATACTTTAGTCATGAGAAGTGGAAAATATTTCAGTAAATTAAAGCATATCAGATTGATCCTATAGTTTGTGCTTCATACAAGCAAAACAAGAAAGACACAAAGGGAAGAACAGACGCATATGGAAAAATCAGGTACCTGAAGGAACACCTGTGTAGGTTTTGCCTTCATATAAAACTGATTAAGCTTGAACTCCAGTTCTTCAAAGAGTCTCGGTAAAACTTTTATTGGAAGCAAACTTTGTTAAAATCTAAATTTTTATAGTCTATGAAACACATATGATCTCTTTTACAATTGTTCAAAGTAATCTATTGAGTGAAAACATTATTTTCTTCTAAGAGACAATGAAGTTTGAGTGCTTGATTTATTACGTAGAGGGTGATGTATTCAATTTGGGTAAATGGGACCATCAATTGTCTTTTGCGTGGCTGGAAAACATTTATCAACAAGAAGTTTATGGCATAAGCATAAGAATGATGACAAACTTTGGGCGTTTTACCTCTGGTGTGCCTTTGCTCACTTGATGCAGCTTATCAGCTGGATTTATGTATGTTAGAACTGTTCCTTTGTTTGTTGGATTGAATGGGAGGAAGTGAACTTATGTGATTCCAAAATGTGCCTTGCAAAAAAATAGTTGAATCAAAAGAAAATTAATCAGTACTTATGAGGTCATTCTCTATTTAAATTTATTCATCATTCTCTATTCTTTTGTATTGTAGAAGTATATGATATTCTATATCATCCAGGGACCTTGACAATGGGTGAAATTACTGTCTCTTAAAATTAATTAGAAGTAATGAATTTAATTCTTTAAGAACAAAAATTAATTCGATACTTAGCAAACCACTAGAAAATGAAAAAAGGGAAAATAGAGGATATCATAAATACCTTGCAGTAGCTGTTGCGGAAGCTCTCTCAAAAGGATCTTCAAACGGTGATTTTTCAGGCTCAGTCCAACGTACCTTTCTCTACCAACAACCAATCCAATCGACTCCAAACCACAACCAATTGATTCACCTTAGTTGCTATTCAATCTTACCCACGTAGGACAAGAAATGATGATGATTTATCGTCACAAAGACTAAGAGAAGACACCACAAAGGTATACTATGAAAGAACCACCAATTGCACACGTTATACAAGCGTTCTAGACACTTCTGGACACCTTTTTCTCACACAAAAAGGGGGCAGCCGGGATTCACTAGTTTCTTCTCTCAAAATCACACAATCATCATATCAAAGAGGCTAGGGTTATATCCATATATATACTCTAGGGTTAGGCTTTAAGTTGGGCCATTAAAGGGGTAAACGGGTCAAGATTCAAGTCATCCATAAGGAATACAATTGGGCCGGGTGTAGCTCATGGACTTGGTTGTTGGACTTATTTCATTCATCGGCCTATACCTATGAAATAATATTAACCCACGTTAACATCATAACCCGGGATTTATTGGGTATCAAAAACTCAACAAATCTCTACCTTGATGCCCAATAAATCTGCAAGCAATCAAAACACACAGTTAACACTTGCATAATCAAGGTAGCCAATAAAATTGGATCACAGACCTTACCTCGTGTTTCCAACTTGAAACACATACCATACCTGCTCCATGTACTCACTGAGGCTAAGGTCAAAAATACCCAAGTAGAAGCAAATATTTAACAGTAAATAATCAAGAGCAAATACACATGCGATGACGATGTACTATAGGATAACACACAGATTTTTTCAAAAAACACGTTCACATAGAACCATAGATTAACACCAAGTCAATCAAACCAGGATCAACCACATATACAACACATGCATAAATGACCCTAATAAAAGATCTCACCACACTTATCATATCCCATTCCGTGTTGCTCACACCTCGAGAACACGTATCTCCTCTCATCGCCCACCAAGTTCACTAGACAGATCACTCAACTCATGTCTAACTGGCAAGTCACAATAGATCCTAAGTCCACGGGATAATCCTTTATCTCCACATCACTTCTCCCAACCTACGTGGATAATGGGTCTCCACCTAACAGAAGTGATAGAAGTGCTTCTCTCACACTCCACCTGATCAGGGTTTCTTTCCAGATAAAAGATCCTAGACATTTGATCACATCTCCACTCGTGATCCAAATGTCACACTCTACATCCCTCGTGCATATCATCAATGCACCTCTTTGCATCTATACTCTACCTTACCAAAAGACATCCAATTCACTACTAATGCATCTCAAACTCACTATGGCAAAACAACACCTTTCGGTGACCACAAAGGTTAATCCACTCACCAATGCTCCCAAAAAATTCACAAAGAAAATAGTGAAGGTGTCACTCTCAAAGAGAATCGAAGAAAGAGTCGGTTACTTCACAACACTCACAATGGAGGCTCACAAAGAGGAAGAATATAATCCTAACATGGCTGCCTCACATAATCTCACAAATCACATAGGTTCACAAAGATAAAGGAGAGAAACAGCTGCCCAACTTTCTTCTCACTACCACATTCTCACACCACTCACAGTGCAAATAGAGTATGCCACAAAATTTAACCCACTATGCATGTAAACATATTACACAAAGTAATAAGTCACTCTAATTCATGCAATTACACATATCAAACATATTGAAAGTGTAAAATCAACATCGCAACGGAATTAAGTGATCGCATACATGCAGAAAGGATTACACACAGATGCAATACAAGAATCATGTTTATTTTCTCAATAAACCTCACTAGGATCACTACTCGACCCTAAAGTCATATTCGCTTTGTCTCTATCCTCATCTTTCCTTTTATTATCATTCTAGGACAATCTCTTTCAACTATGTCCAAATTTCACCACAGTTAAAATATATGTTATTTTTTACATTTACCTTAGATCCACATTTGCCAACAATGCCAGATAATGACCACAAGTAAAGTATGAACATAATTCACATAAAATAGTCCAATAAACTTTCCTAAGGCTACATGCAATTCTAATAATGTAGAAAAATTGACAGCAAATTCACAAAGAATTTAAGGCAAATAATTCATAGGTCTAGCAACAGGCAATGGTTACCCCTTCGTGGTAACCCCAAATCTAATGTCACCCCACACGATGACCTCTAATACAAAAAATAAATTACTCTACACATTTATTTCAATTGCAATAATAAAAAAAAAAGAACACGATACCGAGCGGACCACGTCTGAAAGTCCGTAAATATCAAGAGATGCGAATTCATCACTTTAGGACTATCACTATTTGTCCTAAAGTCTCTGGAAACTGCAGCAATCAAAAAATCACGATCGAGTCCTGAACGCTCGAAGAACAATGCTGTCCAGATTCTACTGTGTACTTTGAAACAGAAAACTTCCAACACGAAAAATGTCAGAAATAATATGAGGAACAAACTGCCTGAAGGGACCTTCTTGAAAATCCCGTCCACGCGCCCTCACGCGCTCCTTTTTTCTCTGCGCGTGGTCCTCATGCGCCACCGTCGCCTGACACGCGCCGACCTACAGGGTTCGCCTCCTCTTGCACGTCACGCTAGTGGTCTCAGTTTCCCCAAACCCCTTCTGGATTGATCAGAAAACACGAAAAACGGAGACTGTTTTTAACAGTTTTTTGGACAGCTTCTTCGATCTGATTTCTGCCTATTTTCTGGACAATTTCTGGTAGATTTCACGAGCCAAAACCTTCACCTTGAAGCTCTGATACCAATTGTTGCAAAAGCTCTCTCAAAAGGATTTTCAAACGGTGGTTTTTCAGGCTCAGTCCAACGTACCTTTCTCTACTAACAACCAATCCAATCGACTCCAAACCACAACCAATTGATTCACCTTGATTGCTATTCAATTGTACCCACGTAGGACAAGACAGGATGATGATTTATCGCCACAAAGACTAAGAGAAGACACCACAAAGGTATACTATGAAAGAATCACCAATTGCACACGTTATACAAGCGTTCTAGACACTTTTCGACACCTTTTTCTCACACAAAAAGGG